AAAATGTTCACAACTGAACCAATAAGCAGCATCATGAAAAATGGAGAAAAGTTTGAAGTTGTCAATGATTTCATGTTACTTGGCTACACAGTCAGCGTCCATGGAAGCAGCAGTCAAGAAATCAAATGACATCACATTGGCCAAATTTGCTGCAAAATAACTCTTTGAAGTGTTAAAAAAGCAACGATGTCACTTTGAGGACTAAGGTGTGCCTGATCCAAGCCATGGTATTTTTAATCATCTCATATGCATGGGAAAGCTGGACAATGAATAAGGAAGACTAAAGAAGAATTGATGTCTTTGAATTAGATGTTGTCAAAGAATATTGAATATACCATGGAATGACAGCAGAATGAAGAAACCTGTCTTGGAAAGAGTACAGCTAGAATGCTCCTTAGTAGCAAGAATGGTGAGACTTTGTCTCACTTACTTTGGACAAGTTATCAGGAGGGACCAGTCACTGAAGAAAGGCATCATGCTTGGTAAAGTAGAGGGTCATTGAAGAAGAGGAAGACCCTCAATGAGACGGATTGACACAGTGGCTGCAACAATGGGCTTAAACATAGCAAAGACTGTGAAGATGGTGCAGGTCCAGGCAGTGTTCCTGTGTACAGTGTTCCATTGTACCTAGGGGTCGCTATGAGTCGGAACTGACTTGATGGCACCTAATGACAACAACAACAAATCCTCAAAAATATTCACCTTTCACTCTCACGCCTCTTCTCCTTTGATTGGGTCATTCCTTCTTTCTAGAAAAGTTTATAGCCATTTTTCCTCTGTAACTTTCCTACTCATTTATTTTAAAATGCAGTGAAAATATCACTTCATCTGTGAAGCCTTCCTACTCCACTAGGAATCATTAACTCATCTCAGTTTTGTTGTTTTCCCACGGCACTTTGGTCATATTTAATTATAAGAATTACCTCATGGCATTTATTTTAATGTCTTTAAAAGCCATTCCTCTACCCAAAATGAATTTTAAGTTCTTCAAAAGTAAAAACTATATAAGAGTTACTGTAACACCAACAGACCAGTACAGCAAAAGAGTTATAAACCGGACATGGAATTTTGAATCAAACAGGCATGGTCTGAGTCCCAGGCATCCATCACTTCCTAGTTGTGCGGCCTCAGTTTCCTCACCTGTGAAATGGGGATAACAACAGTGCCAATTCGTTCAGTTGCTGTCAGGTTGATTAAATTAGATAATACCCATAAAGTGTGTTAAGTGATTAATACACAGTGCTTGGGGAAAAGTATTTGATAAATCAGTTTTTCCTTTTATTAATTCTGCTTCCAAATTTACACATGGTCTTACACATCATTGCTTCTCAATAAATATGTTGTGACTGAATGAATGAATGATGAGATAATGTAATTACCTCTTCTGTGTTGCTTTTTATGGCTTAAGTGATTTGGAAGTGCGGTAAGTTTTACTTCTATTATCAGAACAAATTTTAGGAAGTATAAACCAAGCACAGATAAAATTCTCATAAAGCCAAATGCAGAGATAGAGACATAGATACAAATGAGTAAATGGCATTTGCTGTAAGTGTCTCCAATAAATATCTGCTTCTTGAGTTTATCAGACAGACTATCACCTATGAGTATCTTTTACTCTTTGTAAGAGTTCAAAAAAAAAGAACTATATGAAAACATTTTTATGGACTGCTATGCCAAACAAATATTTTTATTCTAATATTAGGGGACATTCTCTGGACAGGCAGTGAACCTGAGACCAATTTGTGAGGAAGGGAGGTGGGCATGGTATGTGGCATGTATCTTGCAAGGGAACAATGAGGCAGGGCAGAATAATGAAGCCTGGGCCTCAAAGCAGGCATCATCAGTGTCTTACAAATGAACTAAGACTATCTACATCAAATTTTGGCTTGGGATCACCCTGGACTTACTAATTGTGAAATATCTATGAATGTACTGCCCTCACTGTTCTGCCCTCTGGCCGCACTGCCTGAGTTCAAGCTCTCATCACTTCTCACCTGGAGTGCTGCCAAACCTTTTGATGCTGGGTCCCTGTGGCTGATCTCTAGTGCTTCCTCCACATGCTAACAGGTACCACCTTCAAAACCAAACTCTATTAGCTCAAGCCTTTGCCTCAGATCTCTTTGGCTACTTGATGTTTGCAGATTCCTGTGTAATCCTTTTACTTTGGCATAAGCTTGGTTCCATTTTACCTTTCTAGTCTCATTTTCTCACCCCACTCCTCACAGATCTACAGTCACTTACATTCCAGCTATATATACCCACTGATAGTTCTCCAAAAGGCCAGTAAGTTTCACATCCATATCTTCGCTTATGTTAGACTTTCTTTTTGGACTACTCTTCTCTACCTCACTGAATTGACACGCTCTATCAAGATGTTTCTTTTTCTGTAAAGTCTTCCATATTACCTCATCTCCCATTGGTAATGTTCCTCTTGCCCTGCTAAGAATTTACTGTCTCTCTTCATCCTTGTGTTCATACCTACCTTACTATAGGTTAATTAGTTGCTCATAAATCTTTAGCTCTGCTAATTACTGAGTTCCTTAATACCAAACTAAAAAAACAAAAAACTGAAACACATTGCCATTGAGGTAAACCAAAAGACAAAAGAAAAACCCACCACCGTCAAGTTGATTCTAAATCATAGCGACCCTATAGAGCTGAGCAGAACTGCCCCAGAGGGTTTCCAACGAGTGACTGGTGGATTCGAACTGCTTATCTTTTTTGGCTAGCAACCAAACACTTAACCACTGCACCACCAGGACTCCAGCTTCTTAATAGTGGGGGTTAAATTTCATTCCTCTTCACACGTCTAGGATCTAGCATCCTTTCAGGGTTTTCTAAATATTTGCTGAATTACTGGAAGAACAAGGGTGGATGTAGGGCAGAGATTGGATGAAAGATCTTCCTCTTTTCCTTTAATTGCAACATGTACTGAAACTGAGCATGAACTAAGAATTGAATCAATTCTTTGATAGATCCTTTTACATATATTTTATAGCATAATATTTAAAGGGGTCTTTCTGGATTCATTTATGAAGGAAAATTGGTTTAGCATATTCAAATATATTCCAGAAAAGATAAGAGTTACATTTTTTCTCACGTGACTCTTTTAATTACTTCCCTTAATTTTTAAACTATTACCTAAAGAATGACAGTTGCTTGCATAACAAAATAGAATATTATGAACAAAATCGGGGGTTTGGGAATGAAATATCTAGATTTTAATACGACTGTGATTTTAAAACCATTACGAGGTACTCTGAGATAATCTGAGATGATGGAGCTATTATCAGGTGCCAATCAGGGCTGCTGATTATGACTGTGGGTATTAAAGAGGATGCCAGATATGATCCATCTCTAAAGCTCAAATACACAAAGCAAAAATAATTTCCATTGTGACAAACATTGCTAGTTACCCCACAGATGGTTCCTGAAATTTCTCAGAGAATTTGAGTTTACTTTTTCATGGATATTCAAAACAACAACAAAATAAATCAGGAAAGAATTTTTAATACCATTAAGAAATAAAGCTTCTTTAATTTTTTTTTTCTTTTTTTAGCCTGTATCTATTTCCTCTGTAAAGGAATTTTATTTATTAAGGCAATAAAGAGAATGCTCAACAAAATTTGGGGAAACAAAATAATGTGTTCTTCCATCTGCTAGAGTTGGAAAGTCAGTTACTAAATAGAAATCATCACTGTTGCAGAGTAATAAAGCCTAGAAACACCTCCTTCTGCATGCCTCTAATTAAATGCTACTCTTCTAGCCAATGCATTTTTATTAGACAGTTCTATGAGCTTTTTCATGTCCTCCGTTGTATTTCTAGACATTCTAGCAGCCAGTGGTGCGCACACTTGTCGGTGAGCGAAGCAAAGGTTAAGTGTATGACACAGATGAGCCCCAAGATTAAGTATGCACTGTGAAATGCATATGGATGTTCATGATTTGAGCCAATGAACTGTGGCCTGAAATGATGTCACACGAAGTGCAGTGGTAAGTGGAAGGTTAAACCTACTTGCATCTCGGCTCATTAAACGCAGTTAAAGTGCAAATCCCCTCATTCTGACAGTAGTGATCACAAGGGTTCGCTTTCTGGTCACAGCGCTGACTTTTAAACCCCACAGAGCATCTGCAGAATTTCAGTAAAATACAGCCAAATAAAGAGTCTGACTTTCTTTCTTTTTTTTTTTGGCAAATGTTTTAAATGTATTTCATACAGAAATGGCAACATGAATAAAAATGTAAAAATTTTCCCAGGTATGCTCCTTCTTTCTCATACACACTCATCACATGCTACTCTTAAGAGGTGGGGGACAGGATGCAGATTTGGATCATATGGGAATGTCTTCCTTCAGGTTAAGCAGGGAAAAAAGAAAACTCAAAGTAGTGACCACACCGGGTGAAAGGTTTTATTTCAAATTGCCAATTCCAGACGATCAGGGAATTGAGAAGGGGTAATGGTGAAATTCCAGATTTTCTCGGGAGTAGAGAATCTCCAGTAATTTCTCTAGGGGTTCAGAAACCCAGGTTCAAGTTAATGTATTCCAGAGGAGCCGGGGGCTTAGTAGTTTTAAATGATCCAACACTCTAAACCTGATACAAACATCAAATGGCAGTATAGATTTGAAAAGATACCTCAAGTTCTTTTAAAAGGAATAGTCTTAAATATCAAAACATCCATAAAAGATAATTATTTCTGGGTTTCACATATCTGAACAAGGGCAGTGAAATTAGGACATTTTTTCCCTTGCATTTCCCAGTCAAAGATCTATGAATGTCTGAAATGGGTATGGTGCTAAGAATTGAATGTGCTCTTCCTCATGAAATCATTAGCAAATTGATGAAGGAGGAGATTCTGTAGCACATGAGCCGATGAAGGGACGATACTGGATCAGAGATGACCACGAAACACTCATTTAAAATCGTGAGCAATAGAACAGGGATTCCCTGTATATACAAAGTTCTACCAGGAAATGCCCACAATGCTATAAAATACTCACAGACACACAGGTACATTTGTCTCAGGGTCCAGCTGGCACGTGCCACCATTGTAACAGTAGCCATCACATAACTGACAGCTAGAGGCAATTTTTCCATTGGTGCAGCTGCAACAACAAAGAATAAAATATCCCCATTGTTACCGGCATCATCATGTTGAAAGCTGACACAAACCTTCTGCAGATGAAAATATTCATTATAAAGGAGTAATGGAATGGCTGGCTAAAAGTATGTTTCCAAAGAAGACAGACTTGCTGGAGGCAAAGATTTTTTTTTAAAGCAGAATAATGCCAGATAAAATTTTTCTTGAGGTAATCTTCAAATTTTCAATCCATTTGCTTAATATAAAATTTAATATAGGCAGATATACGTGTGAAAAAATACGCCCAAATGTCTCACTACACCGAAGGGAGACATTAGCATCAGTACCTTGTTCCCTTTTCATATAACTAGAGCTTGGTGGCATGTGTGAATTATAAACTACGTGATCAAATCCTCTGAAAGCCAATATCCAGCTACGTCGTCTAAAATAGAGAATCTGGTCCAAAGAAGTATTATGAGTTTTAGACTCCACATTTTTTAACAAAGTGTAGAATTATCCTGTATCATTTTTATCCTACTGTTTCTCTTTAAATATGTATTGTAATTGATGTTAAACTGTTTTTATTCTAATAGAAAAGAACCAAAAGCACAGTTCATTGCAAAAAATTAAGCAACAGTCATGTACAAGGAACAGTACGTAATATGGCAACAAAGTAATGAGGCAGGTTCTCTTGAAAACCTAATGAAATTGTTTTAATTTACAGCCACATTAGATGTCTCGGATAAGAATAAACCATATGACTATTGCTACAATGGCAACAATATTATAACAGTGATAGAAAAAATATAAATTTATGACTTGCAATGTTTATTAAATAAGCAAACAAATAAATAAAAAGTACTATCAGATTGTACCGTGAAAACCGTTGGGGAAAAAGAGAAACACGCATCAACATTCCAAATTATTGAAAGAACTCCTTTATGAGAAATATGAGAATAGAATTATACAAGTCTCAGCACAAATCAGAGTTACAATAGATAATGCCAATAATTCTGATCATGTGATCATGTTGCTGCTAGGTGTGATGAAGTAATCAGTGATATCTCAATAATTCTGGACATCACCTTGACAGAGAAATCAGTCTGCAATACCTTTGATCGATCATTTTAGTCGTCGTCGTGACGGATGTCTATGGTAGTATATCCATCATAGAATAATTCCCAGTGATAGGTAGAATGCCTGAGAATAACTGATTGGCAATTCTATAATTCATTTATTCTGGGCGTATTTATTTGACTTCATATGTGAGGCAGGGCTGCTGAAAATGCACTGAGATGCTTATAACTTTCCCAGGGTGTTTAAATTTGAAGATATCTTTAAACATGGGCTTTAAACACACATTTCTTTTTGAGATAAACAGGAACAATGAATAAACTATATACTAGACATGGGAAGGGGGGCAGTCTAGAGTTTTCAAGATTTAACAGAGAATGTCACATCCTTTGAAACCTGTGTTGTTGTTAGCTGCAATTGAGCCAGCCCTGACTGATGGTGACCCCTGTATGTCAGAGTGGAAATGTGCTCCACAGGGTTTTCATGGCTATGATCTTTTGGAAGCACATCACCAGGCCTTTTTTCAGAGGTGCCTCTGCGTGGGTTCGAACTGCAACCTTTCCTTTAGAAGCTGGGTGCTTAACTTAACCTCTTGCACTACCCATGGATTTCTATAGAGGCATCCCAATATAGATGTGAAATGAGTCAGGTAGGCATTCAGTGGAACTGGTGCCTCGTATGTTAAATCATGAGGACTTTTTCATGCCCTCAATCCCAAGCATCCTTGAAAATCAATAGAGCAGAGAGTTATACTGTTTCTTATTCCATCAAAGGGACAGAGTCAAAAGGAAAAATTAGCTCATTATATATTAAAGGAGTTCCCACAAAAAATATAACTATACACCAAATATCAGCTTTTAAGAGATAAAAAATAAATTCTAATTGTTGATTGCTTTTAAACTTCTGCTTCCAAAAGTTATAAAAGATGCTGCCTCTTTTTCCTTTTAAGGTTTTGTCTGAACATTAAATTAAAGACAGAAGTTTGTAGTTCCTTTAAATGTGAAGTACAAATTATACAAATCATTGTAATACATGAAAGAGTACTGTTCATACTTTTAATATAAGGTTTCACAATAAGTTTCTTTTTTTTTTAGAGGAGTATGTGATACACATACACAAATGATATATGTGACATATCACTTTCAGAAGTTAATTACCAGTTTTTCAGTACACACAAAGAACTCCCATAACAATTGATATAGCAGGAGTATTATTTAGGCTGTTCAAAATTATGATCAAGATTTACCTCATCAATATTTACTTAGCTTTCCAGAAGACAGAAGAATACATAATTAGCTGTATTTTAAAGATTATGCTTATCATACTTGAAAGAGTACTCATTCTAGTTGACAGATCATAGGCTGTGCATTAGAAACATAACTGCCTATTTGCAATCAAAAATATACATGGTGGCTTGAATTTTCACAATTAAATAAAAAAAATGATTCACTTTAACTCTAGTAATTTTGCTTTAAGTATTTGTTCTTTACCTGTGAAATAGAAATTCCAGCATCACTGTAAACATCCCTTTAATGCTAAGATAGAAGGTCTGATAGAAATGAACACGAATTTTAATTAATATGTTGTAAGAATACCCAAAGAGCTCTGTTTGTATTGACATTTCAATTGACATTTCATACATAGCTTATCTGATAAAGCAAGTATGATTGCAGTGTTATTTTTTAAAGTTCATCATCTACTCATTGTTAGCAACTGTTATTTATCCATTCGTATAAGCGCTGGTGGTGCAATGGTTAAGAGCCTGGCTGCTAACCAAAAGGTCAGCAGTTGGAATCCACCAGCTGCTTCCTTGGAAACCCTATGGAGCAGTTCTACTCTGTCCTGCAGGGCCTCTGTGAGTCAGAATCAACCCAATAGCAACGGGTTTGGTTTTTTGGGTATATGTACTTTGAAGTTCCTGGTCGGTGTAGAAGGTTAATGCGTTTGGCAGTTATCAAAATGCTGGAGGTTCAAGTCCACTGAGAGGTGACTTGGAAGAAAGGCCTGGCAATCTACTTCTGAAAAATCAGCCGTTGAAAAAAATCCTAAGAAGCACAGTTCTACTCTGACACACATGGGTTGCCATGAGTCGATATTGAATCGACAGCAACCGGCACTGGTATGTGTACTTTTCCAAAATGATCTTCTAGAAGACAAGAACTATAATGACGGCCCTCAATAGACTATGAGGTTATGGAGATCTGTTGCTTCTAGGTAGGAGAAATCATTTTTCACTGTAAAGAAGGCAATATGAAGGGCCCTAAGAATCGTGCCCTTCCTTCCTTACATGGGACTTTCCTTTTTAAAAGGAACAGGGTGTGTAATTCAGTAGGAGATTTTCCAATGTAAACAGTGTAGAAAACTGCAGCTCAAGCCCTTTCTTAGATTTTGGGCCATACTCCCCTTGGTGAGTGGAATGGGGCTGTAAGGAAGATTCTCATTCCTGATAAGTTGCACTGGCCATGACAACAAATATATATGCACACTAATTGAAATAAAGTTCCGTCATGCTAAAGTTCATCACAAAGAACTCATGAGCTTAATGAGCAAACATAATTTTTGTGGCTTACTTAAAAACATGCTTTGTTTTTATGTACTTACCAATGGCACATATTTATATATTAGTCATATTTTTAATTACTTTACTTAAAAAATAATGTACTTTCAAACCACCCAGTTTGAAGCTTTGAGTAAATGTCATTCATAACAATAACACAAATCGTATTTAGAGTAAATTCTAAAATAAGAGTAAATAAAAAAGAAAAAAAACAGTGTTGATGCTGTCTGTAATAAAATTTTATTGGGCCTTGTTTGGCAGAGCAACATAACTCAGTGCTGGCACCCTGTCAGTGTGAGTTCAGTGAAAGCTGGGCCATGAATGCTTCACAGCGTTCCTTTCTAGCTCATATTCTCGTTTATTACACTCCAAAGCAAGTCAAGTGATAAGACTCCAGTCCTTTATAAGCTCTTCTTTTAAAAGGTTGTTGAAAGAAGTTTGGAGTGAGGATTGATCTCTAGCCTCTGTGGCATAAACTTGTTTAATGATGGAAACTGAATGGTATTACCCTTTAGCCGAGATGTTCTTCTGCTTTTCAGACACTTAATCTTAAAGTCAAAGGGTAAAAGGTAATGTAACCAAAGTCAAACTTGGACATTCTTGTTGTCATTGCTTCCCAGAAAACATTATTCCCTCTACTTATTTTGGACCATAATGTTCAATGTCAGATTAAAAAGAAAAAATAAATATTAAAGCTTGTTTCCTATCACAGGTCTTTCGCTCTTACCCTCGAAGGATGAATTTTTAACAACAAAAGAAAGGTAAGGCACTCGTGTCAATAATAATGACTGAACAATTAAAAGCCCGAAATTTCCTAATTTAACAATATTGCACATAGCTTTTTAAAAGTATGCTACAATTCACTATTTCTTGATTATTATTAGAAATATTTCATATAGGGAATAATCTGCCAATTCCATTACATGACGTATTTTCATGTTCCCCAGATGTACCTAACAGATGTTGAGTAAGTAAATTGAACATCATCACTAGCCTTAAAAAAAAAAAAAAAGCAAAGTTCACCCTATAGAGTTTTAGAATAATAATTTACATTGTTTTCACAGTTTATTACTGGAATGCTATGTCCTTTTGAGTTCAAATGCTTTTATAAATTAAGCCATATGTCCACTTACTTGCAAAATATATCTTCACTTTCTTTAGTTATAATGCAGTGTCCCCCATGGCATCTTATGCATTTGTCAACCTCACATTTTGGTCCTTCATAGCGTGTTGGACAGACACATTCAACACTTCCGTCATCCTCTATGGTACATGATTCAGAATTCACACAATAATGGTGACACACGTCTAGGAAGAATGCACACAGGAAAAATGAAATTATTACAAGATGCGCTACTTCCATCATAATAAATGCTACTTTTTTATTTAATATTAAAAAATAGTCAATCAACCGGTATATGAATTTTAAAAAAGCAGCTTGTAATTGTATTTAACTAGAATTCTCTAATTATGCTATTGATTCCTCTTCTTGCCTGAGTTAGGCATCATTTCATCTGCCTAAGAGCAGATGGGTTTATTTTTTATAATGCTAGCCAATAAACTCTTCTGGTTCTGAACTTCAAAGCTCAAGTTAGAAAGGTTCCTTAGCTTTCCTTCTAATGAAGACTATTACCATTAGTTTAAAATAGACAGAAATACTTCAAGATTTATTCAAATGTCGTTTATCGTTACCTCTCCCCCAACCTCTTTTCATCCAGAGAACAGGATAACATGTGCTGAGTGGGGGACTCCTACTTTTGCAGTAGCCCTTGACATTGTGGAAAAACCCTCCCTGTACAGGTGCCAGGACAGGCCTAGATATTTCCAAACTCCTGGGTAGGTGAGCAGACAAGTAGGTGTGTTGCTCATGGAACTTCAAGAGGAAAGTAGATGAGGAAACTAGCTGATCCATCATGGGTGGGAAGTGCTAGCAGAAGTCTAGGCTAGTATCCACCTCCCACCCCAGATGACAGCCTAACCTCCCCACATGTCAGAGGACAAACTTTCCTGTCATCTGAGCTCCTTGTTTGGAAAGATATTTCTTACTAAGCATTACAGACAACTTTTTCAACTACAAGGGACGATTTCTTTCAAGTATTTCCATACCTCTTGAACATCAGCAATAAAATAAAGACATTTTAATAATATAATCACCACTCAAACTTTGTAATTAGACATTCTGCTTCAGTCTTTTGAAAAGCAGACAGGTCTATATGTGTGTTCATATATGAATATATTTATAATTTACCAGATTTGAAATATGGAAATCCATAATAGCAATAATCTTAAGTAAAAGAATTTATTAAATTGATTCCAAACTTTATGTTTAGGAGTTGCAATTTCCTTTTAGCTATCTAATTGGAAAGCAATAATGAGATTAGCTAAGATAAAAATAAAAATTTATTAACTTAACATACTGTATCACCATTATAGTGGATGATGAAAATTAAATCAAATTTATAATTCTCATGTTTGTATATTTACCTAGTCCTTTATTAAGTCAGGAAAAAATTAAACTTATTGACAGTTTTGCTTCATATTTACTGAAATTCATTTCAAGTGTTCTTATGCTTGCTGTTGCATTATGCCAAGTACTCTGGTTGAGGTTCAATGCTTAAGCCTATTAACATGGGTTTTGGCTATATTTAAGAACAGTGGCGCTTTCAAAGCATGAGAGACTTGAAGATCTAAAAATTAAAGCCAGTCTTTCCACTATGATGTGTATAGTTGTTCTAGGCTTGGCAAGTACAACACAAATTCTGTTTTTACTTATGAAGAGTGCGTTAGCGGTAGCTGATATGATTACCTAGCCCAGCCTCCCATTCCATGCAGAAAACTCTGAAGAACAACCTTCCTTAGAAAGTTTTCTGGATACTCTTGTCTTAGTTATCTAATGCTGCTATAGCACAAATACCACAAGTGATGGCTTAACAAACAGGAAGATATTTTCTCACAATTAGTCCAAATTCAGGGTCCTGGCTCTAGGGGAAGGCTTTCTCTTTCTATTGGCTCTGGAGGATTTGAGCTTCTGCCACTGGGTGAACTTCACACGGTTTGGCGCCTCTCTTCCCCTATCTGTTTCTCTCCCTTGCTTGTTTAATATCTTTTATACCTCAAAAGAGATTAACTCAAGACAGGTCTACAGTAATCCTGTGTCATTAACATAACAAATACAACACATTCCCAAATGAGATTATAACCACAGACATAGAGGTTAAGATTTGCAACACATATTTTTAGGGGACACAATTAATCCATAACATTCCATCCTTTGGCCCTACAAAATCGATGTTCTTGCCACATGCAAAACACATTCACTCCATCACATCATCCCCAAAGTCTTAAATCAACTCCAAGTCCCAATTCCATCCTGGGGCAAAATTCCTCTTCATCTGTCAACCTGTGAAATCTAGAATACAAGTTATCAGCTTCCAAAGTACAATGGTAGAACAGGTACCAGGTATACATTTCCACTATAAATGGGAGAAATTGGAAGGAAAGAAGGGATAACAGGCAACAAGGAAGTCCAAACCCCAGAAGAAAAAACTACATTAGCTCTGAAGGCTGCAAAATAATTTTCTGCTCTCTGAGACCATCTGAGCAATGGCCGCATCCTCCAGACTCTGTGTGTTGGCCACACTCTCTGGACTCTGGGTGGAAGATCCTTGGCCCTGGGCTTCAGCTCTGCCTTCCAAGTCCACTGGGACAGCAACTCTGCTCCCTTAACTTTAGGCAGCCCCATTTCCTAGTCCATCTGAGTGGCAACTACACCCTCTCAGCCTGCACAGCAGGCCATGTTCTTCTGTCCCTTGGACATGGTAGCCCCGCCCATCAGCTTTGGACTATGGCCCCATCACCCACACTCCTGAACAATAGCTCCACACTCCAGAACCTTGTTGGTGAAGATCCTACTCCTTGAAACCTAGGAGGCTGTGGCCCCACCCTTTGAGATCTAGGACAGCAGGGCCCCACCCAAGGACCTATCTACAGAAAATGACACCTATGGCAATTAGTTTTAAATTGCTGAATGATCTCTCACAGACGGTGATGGAAACTGAGAAGGCAAATAGAAACTGCTAATTAGTGCCCCTCCTCAAGCGGCACACAGAGCATGCGCCCTACCTGCTATGCCTTAGTTATGCCTCTGGCCCCACCCTTTGAAATCTAGAAGGCCCTGCTTCCTGTGCTCCTTCCAACAGTTCTGCTGATATCCAAGCTGCTCCAAGGACGGTCCTTTTCTTTTCTTGAAGGACAACAGATGTAGCTCTTTTGGCCTGTTTCCTGGGTGTAGAATTCCTAGAGGCAAGCACAGTTCCTTCCTTTCTCTATTCTCTGAGTCTAAGCTGATGAATTTTCTGCTGCAGTAGTTGGTTGGATCCATCAGTCACAGCCTTAACCTTTTTTAACAAAAGATTGTGTAGCTACGTCCTTGGTAAACATTCTAGGACATGTGTCTTTAGTTGGTACAACATAATTTTCCAGAGCCTTAAGTTCTGGTTTCATTTTGCATGGTTCATTTTTAAGTCTATCTCTTTCAACTCATATTTTACTATAAGCAGCAAGGAGAAACCATAACACCCCCTTATGATCTTACTTAGAAGTCTCCTCAGCCAGATATCCAAGTTCATCACTTACAAGTTCTACCTTCCATCAAACATTTGAACATAATTTAAATAAGTTCTTTGCCACTCTGTAAAAAGCACTGCCCTTCCTCCATTGTCCAGTCACACTTCATCATTTTCTTTTAAAGTCTCACTAGAAGCACATTTATCGCCCACATTTTTATGAACATTCTGTTGCTAGTGCCATAGGTATTCTCTAAGATGACAGAGACTTCCTCTATAGCTCTCCTCACTTCCATCTAAGCCTTCACCAAGATTACCTTTGACGTCCATAAGTCTACCAACACTCTCTTTAAGGCAACCTAGGGTTTTACTATTAGGCACCTTAAAACTCTTCTAGCTTCCACCCATTATGCAATTCCAAAACCACTTGCACGTTTTAGGTATTTGTTATACCAGCACCCCCACTTCTCGGTACCAAATTCTGCCTTAGTTATCTAGTGCTGCTATAACAGAAACATCACAAGTGGATAGCTTTAACAAACAGAAGTTTATTTTCTCACAGTTAGGAGGCCAGAAGTCCAAATTCATGGTGCTGGGTCTAGGGGAAAGCTCTCTCTCTCTGTTGGCGCTGGAGGAAAAGTCCTTGTCTCTTTTGAGCTTCTGCTCCTGGATGATCTTCATGTGACTTAGCATCTCTTTTCCCCTGTCTCTGTTTCTCTTGCTTGCTTGTTTAATCTCTTCTATATCTCAAAAGAGACTGACTCATGACAGACCCTACACTAATCCTATCTCATTAACATAACAAAAACAATCCATTCCCAAATGGGATTATAACCACAGGCATAGAGGATAGGATATATAAAACAAATTTTGGGGGGACACAGTTCAATCTATAACACCTCTTAATGACCAAGAACTCCCTTAATATTGCCCCCAATTGCCTTCTAAATTCATTCTTTGTTCTTGTTCAGCCTTCTGAAGGGGCATAGAAGTCGGCTGATGTATATTTCCAAGATCTTCTTATCATGTTCTTATTCAGATATTGCCATAGCTGACAATGCATCAGAATCATTTAGGGGACATATTTGCAAATGCAAATTTCAATACTTTTCCTTGCTGCCTACCCCTAGCTTCTAATTCATAGGTATGACATGAAGCCTAGGTGATTCCCATAGGACTGGTTGAGGAACTAGTATTTTTAGGAAGATAGGATGTAGGAAATGACAACTTGGAGAGAATTTTACTGGTTGACGAAGAGACTACATTATCTAAAAGTTATAAATGGATCTGTTTTGATTGAAATAGCTTATTTCTTGACTAACATTGGAAGCTTTATATAAAATATAATTTTAAAATTGTGAACCAATTGATTTTTACAACCACACTTCAGAGAAGATCTGGAAAACTAGAAAAAAAAAATGAGTTGATGGCTGAGGGTTGATGGTTGCCCAATACCACACTGCAACCAAGGAACAGTTCACACATACCTTGAGTACCAAAGGGCAAAGTTAAAACCTTACCTAAAATATGTAAATTATAAGCAATTTTGAAATTTAAACATAAAGTATAATTGTTTTAGATTAGGATTAAAAAGACATAAGAAAGTACCAAAAAGATAGTAATCAAGGAAATGTAAACTAACATCTCAATGAAATACCATTACACACTCAACAAAGTGAATCCCAAAAATCAAATAAACAGTATCAGAAACTGTTATGCACTGCTAGTAGGACTGTAAATTGG